GAAAGGAGGTTGGTGGGCTGAGCAGATGAGAGAAGGGAAAGCTGGGTGAAGCTATTGGGAGAATATGAATGAGAGATGAATGAGGAGCTTTGGGGGCACAGTGAAGGACACAATGAGGACTAGATCCATGATTTCTAATACCTTCCCTTCCCTACATGGTTTTGTGAGACTATAACTCTCCTGGAGAAGGCAGCTAGACTGAGCAGTTGCTAGATCCTGACAAGAAGGCGGAACAGAACTTGAAGGTCTGTAGAGGCCTCTGCATAGGAGGAGGGGGTGGTGAGCTTGGGAAACACAACACCTAAGTAAACAATGAAACAAAATAAACCAGCATAGTGTTTGTTGTGGGTATGGAAAGGAATCTTAGAGATTATTTTCTAGATAAGGAAACCAAGATCTGGCATTTGGAAAACAACTAAGCACTAATTGTACAGTAAGGACAGTACAATTGAATTTCAGACAACAAAGGTTAGGTGTGGGGAGAGTTATGAATGGGTAAAGAGTCCAAAACAGCTTTCCAGATAGGGACACCTGAAAATTGAGACAAGGTGGATATGATAATAGGCTCTCTCTGTATCAAGAAGGGGAATGGTGTGGCCGTCCTTTCAAAGTTTAGGGCAGAGAGTTGTGTTGGAAATTTTCTCAGTAATACCATAAGGAAAAGTTCCTTCAGTTTTGAAGGAAAAAAAACTACACTGGGTGCACAGAAGAAGGAAACCAGAGTGGGTGACCAATTCCCCACCAATCAGGCTGAAATACGTTAGTATATCCAAGGCCTGCTTCCCTGTGTGGCAAATTCAGGTGGTAGGAAGCAGGCAAGGAGTGATACTAGAAGGTAGTTACCCGACTTCCTCATTGCCTTTCAGTCTATACAAAATGTCTCTAAAAATTTAGAAACAATGATGTAAATCTGGACTGAAATCTTCTGAGTGGCCATTTCTGCTGGTCAGGGAAGTCCCCACACTGTTCATTTGTCTTCCTTCCTTTCTCGCAGCACAGCATCAATTATCCCTCTGAGGACAAAACTAAAAAGCAACCTCTTCTCCATGGAAGAGGAGAGTTTTAATCACAGCGAAATTTGACAGGGCAGAAGCCTCCCTGAATCCACTCTGGCCATTTAAAGCTTTTCTGCCCCCTCTGGACTAGCACAAGTGCACGCGCATCAGACCATGAAAGAGGGAAGATGTTTATATGGAAATCAGTAATATTTCAGGACTGGCCTGTATCGGGATGTGTCTCATTACTCTTCGTTGTCTAAATCAAGTCATGTCAGCTGTCAATAACCTTTTATTCTTGTTTTCAGAAGATGCTGCCAAAATGCCAGTTTGGAAGTTCTGCACAGGGCAGTTAATTCAGTTTAAATGAAAAAGAAAGACACCAATGTGGTGGTGGTTTTAATTCAGAGAGTTATTACAATAGATAGGGATTCTAGAAAAAGTTAGGTTAAGTCTACGTGAAATCGATGGGCTATGAAATGCACCCAGGGGACGTTTTTGAATAAGGAAAGGGGAACATGTTCCTATTACAACCTCACTTACGATTCAGTGTAGGGTCTGGAGCCAAGCCCGTGCACGTGTGATGTGTAGCCCAAGAGCTTCCCTCAAGATATCAAGCCCACCTACTTAACCCTACTGTCCAGCAGATAGAACTGAGATGAGTCTTAGAATTGGGGATTGTGGAGGCTATTGAAAGACCATCATGATAATTTCTCTGCCTTCCAGGAGGAGTAAAATCATTCTACATGTATTAAATTATTGTTTGTAAATTATACTTCTATGAAAGATCTCACAAATGCACCCTGGGAGAGCTGTTTAGAACAAATCCATTACTGTAATAAATTGTTTACATGCAACCTCTCCTACTTCAGGTACATCCTTTTGTGAAGAGACACCCAGTGACTGGTTATTATCTTCCTGATAAGAGGCATTCACATGCTCAATCTCTTTTTCCTTAAGTATATTTATTTCTGAAACCTATCCTCACATGCCCTTAAATAATATTCTTTAGTTGATGCTAAGTCCTTCCTGAAGTTGTTGTTCTTTCATTATGAAACTCAAGCTGAGCTGTGTGTTCTAGAAGAAGGTTGGCCAATTCGGCATATAAAGAGCAGTGATTTAATGATCCTACAGTCCAGAATTTATTCCTCCAGGACCATAATAGCTATTTAAACCACAGCATGAGGATGGCTGATGGCCATTTATTGTCTTGTTGCTTTTCTACCAGACTTGCATGTAACTAGTCTATCTTTTCCAATAACATTCCCTCACCAAATGTTTCCTTAATGGACTGTGATTAAATGGTTTTAATTGTTCAGTGAAAATATAGGGCCCATTTTTTAAAAATTAGGAAATACATGATGCTACAGTCGAGTATTTGTGTCCCAGCCCCCAAATCCATTTGCTAAAAACCTAATGCCCACAGTGATGGTATTAGAAGTAGGGCCTTTGGGAGATGATTAGGTCATAAGGATGGAGCCCTCATGAATGGGATTAGTGCCCTTTTAAAAGACTTTCAAGAGAGCTTGCTCAGTCCCTTCTGCTCTGCAGGATACGACAGAGAAGTCTGCAACCCAGAATAGGGCTTTCACCCGAACATACTGGCATCCTGATCTAGAACTTCCAGCCTCCAGAACTGTGAGAAATAAGCGTATGTTGTTTTTAAGCCACCCAGTCTGTGGTATTTTGTTATAGAGGTGCAAACAGACTAAAACACATGGTAAAAAAAGAAAACTATGCGATTAAAAGTTTTCTCCCAATATCTGCACTGGCTTAGCTCCCCCCATGGAGTCCAATCCTGTCTCCTAATCTTTTGTGTTCATAGAATGGCTCATGCACATAAAAACAAATACATAAACAGTAAAACCTTGGTTTGTGAGCATAATTCATTCCAGAAACATGCTTACAATCCAAAGCCCTTGTATATCAAAGCAAATTTCCCCATAAGAAATAATGGAAACTCTGATAATTTGTTCCACAACCCAAAAATACTCACGTAGAAATGATTACAATCCTGTAATATAATACAGAATAGAAAAGAAAATACAAAATATTAAAAAATAAGCAAATTGACCTGCAGTTGCCTTTGAAAACCTTTGTGTCTTGTGTGAGGGAGACGAGAGAGGAGGGTTATTGTGTAGGATGACTTTCACTATCACCAATGGAATCACTGCTATATTGGCTCAATGGAATCTTTTCCCCATGGGGGCCATTGTATACCCTCATATGGATGTTGACTACAGTGCAATATTAATAAACTCTTGCCATATACTGTATTTAATGTAATTGGCAATAAGGCAGCAGAAGAAAGGGTCTGCAGGCAGCCTGACCTAGAATGAAGCAAAGCATTCTGTCCTAAGCTTACTTTTGTATGTCAAAACAGAGGACTGTGCATATGTGCTTTGAAGTGACAAAAAAATACATTAGTGCCAATTGTGGGCATGTTCCAACATTCTGAAAAATCACTGATTTCTGCCAAACACTGTGGCCAGAGACCAAGCATCTGAGCATGAGAGACAATCACCCATAATCCCAGAGTGAGTGAGAGAGAGAGAGAGAAGAATCATTGACTTGGGTGTGATCATGTGATGCTTGGCATCACTTGATGTCTACTCTTATTACAAGACATTGCTTGTTTATCAACTTAAAATTTATTAGAAATGTTTGCTTGCCTTGTGGAACACTTGCAGAGCAAGTTAGAATCCAAGGTTTTACTGTAATATGTTTTGAATACGATTGGCAATGTGCTTTGACACAGCTCTACATCTTTCCTTAAAAGTTAATGATATAGGGGCACCTGGGTGGCTCAGTTGGTTGAGCATCCGACTTCGGCTAAGGTCATGAACTCATGGTTTGTGAGTTTGAGTCCTGTGTTGGGCTCGCTGCTGTCAGTACAGGGCCCACTTTGAATCCTCCGTCCCTCCCCTGCTTGTGCTTTCTTTCTTCTCTCTCAAAAATAAATAAACATTTAAAAAGTTTAATAATGTATATTAGGGATCTTTCCCTTTGGTACACAAAGATCTTCATTCTATGATATAGCTGCATAGTACTCTGCGGAGTGGATGTACCATAATATATTTGTTACAGACATTTCTGAATACTGATCCCATTCTCCAGAATATCCTCTACAGCTGAAGTCTGTGGAAGATGCATCTTTACTATACAACTGTTTGCAGAGTGCTTCCTATAAGCACAGCTTTGTGCTTGGTGCCAGGGGGAATGCAAGAAGCAGTGAGTCGGGCAGCTACTGCTCCCTAAGAAAATACAGCCTCATCAGGAAGAGAAGACATGGGGATGAGAAGGGCTAGATTGCCGATGCTACCCCCTCCCACTTTTCCTTTGTTTTCTTGCACATCAGATGCCCTTTCCCATGGCTTTGTACATGGTACAAATAGCCTTTCTGTTTGTCAGATGTGCATATGACCATGAGCCTGAGGTGGCTTACACTGGGAACTTCTAGAGCAGGGATTGCCAGCTCTCCTACAGTGGCCAGGAAGGAAACCTACATGAGTGGAGTGAAGTAAGTGAACCAGTTGGGAGCACACAAGCTCTGTTTAAAGGGAGTGACCAGCTGCTACTCTGCTCCAGGAAATTATTTCCCTGTAGTTGCTAGATCTTCTGATTGATGAAAAGGAACCAGTGATAAAAAGTGCATAGGATCTTTCTGTATTACTTCTTACAACCTCAAGGGAATCCACAACTGCCTCAAATAAAAAGTCTGATTTAAACTAAGAGTCAGAACCCTGGATCATTGTGTGAAATTACCTGATTTACAAGTATGGGAAAAATTTTAACACTGCAGGCTCAGCAAACTTCATCTGTAGCTGATACAGCTTCAGAACCACCATTTCACTATCTGTGCATAATGGGATAATTATAATTTGATTTGCATGAAGTCTGAGGCAGCCCAATCCATGTTTGCTTAAAACATCTTTCTTGTTCCTGTGGCTTTCCATTGTCTTTGACAGTGGCCATTCCTACTTATGAAGCTTCCTCTCATTCCAGGTCCTTGGATGTGGCTCTGTTGCCCAAGCTATCCTCAGTAGAGGAGTCTTTGGAGGAATTATCACTATCAATGTTGGATTTGCAATGGCAGTTGTAATGGCCATTTATGTGACTGGAGGTGTCTCTGGTAAGTAATAGAAATAATAATAGCTGCTGTTAATTCATCCATTCCAATGTGCTAGCCCAGTACTGGATGCTTTACATACTTCAGTTTATTTGGATTCCCACAACCCTGCAAAAATATGTATTTGATTCTATTTTTATAGATGTTAAAATCAAAATGTCCAGCAAGCAGTGAGTGACTTGTGCAAAAGTAACATTTAGCAAGAGACAGAGATGAGGGTTAGGACTCAGAACTAGCCGATTCCTAAATCTAGTCACTGCATTGTATTCTTCCTTCATCAATATAGATCTTTTACCTGCTCTACCCCATGCCTGGAAGTCATTCTCAGATACCCCATGCAGAGCTCGGTGAAGATCACTCCAAGAGAGAGAAATCCCTGGACCTTTACCCACAGCAATCAGAAAAGTCTAGGCCACTTGCAAAATGGCTAGTGCTTTCATGGAAGTGCAGGTCTCATCGAACAGATCATGGGCTAATTCTTCCCTGAGCGGTGGGGTGCTTGGAAGCCACTCACAATGTTCTGAGAAGCAAAATGAAATGATGATACGTAATGCAGTATGGGAACTTAGGAGGCACTGTGCAAATGATCCAGTTCTCAAAGGCACTCAGAGTCTTTCAGCAGCCTGGTCAGAACACTCAGGCAGGACCGCTGGGAATAAGGGAAGAAAGGGAATCACCACCGTGTGCTGGGAACTATGCTGGGGCTGTCCATACTTGGTCTCCTTTCTCTACAGCAGCCCTCTGAGGCAGGCATTACATCTGTATCCTACCAAGAAAAGTGGAGCTCCAAGGTATTAAGTAAATTGCTGGAGTCCCACAGCTGGCAAAGAGCAGAGCAAAGATTTGAGGCAGGTCTATGTGACAGCAAATTCACGTCTGCACAGTCACACAATGTTCACAGTGGTCTGGTATGGGAAGAGCATTACAGAGCAGGCCTTCCAGAGGACCGTGCAGTTAATCCAGCTGGCCTGGTGACAGATACTGCCAATGGAGCCTGAAGAATGATTGCCTAGACCCTGGGGGAACCTCCTCGGGCTGGGCACCTGGAAGAGTCATTGGCTGGCTGGCACCCTTTCCATAGCACATGGACTCCTCTCCTGGGGTGATCCAGGTTAGAGATGCCTGTATGTGTGATTGTTTGCCATGAGCATTGTATATGTTCCCTCTCTTGTCAAGCCTTTGCTGTGACCCTAGGGCTGTACTGCCTACCTAAACACAAGAGTATACAGGGGACCATCCTGACTGTGCTGAGGCCTAATTACAGGGCAGACCTTGACAGCAGACACAGATCATAGTTGTGGCTTAAAGCAAGCATTCAGTATGCTCCACTGCTGCCCCCCAGTGCTCCCCCACCTTCGCACAACAAATGAGGTTTCCCCAAACTGTGAAATATAAACGTGGGTGCATTCTCAGCTGTGTTTTAGGTAGTGACATGGTTTGGGGATATTTCACCTGCATAATACCCTGAACTGAACATCATCACATATTTGTTTAGAAAAATTGGCCCCAGATTCTATCAGTGTAGGAAATAGCATTTATCACCACTGCAGCCCATGTCTGTTTATCCAGTGATATACTCGGGAATTTGGGCAGTCACCATAGGAAAACAAAAAGGGGGCAGAGACAAGCAAGAAGAGGAAGAGAGGATGAGGGATGGTATGAAGTCTTCCCATTTGGCCTCTAGACCTGGGGTAAGCCCCTGTGCTCAGAGGGGTGAGAGACAGAGCTGATGGGACTGTTTCCACTAGAGGTTGCTTCTGGGTGAGGGTTAAGAGCTGACCAAATTGTTCACAAGAGTCTATGAGACCCCAAAATACAAGTACAGCAGTTTCTAAGCCTGGTTAATACAAGATGGCATTTGGGTTGGAAAGGAAGCTTACCTCCCCATCTCTGGAGAGGCTCCTTGAAGACTGGTGGCTTTGGGAAGGTGCAGGGACAACACACCAGCCCACCACTGACATCCACGCAGACATCAGTGTTGGTTGTTTCAGCAGCCACAGGAATAGGAGAGGAAGACTGTGGGAGAGGTGACTTTCTCAAGTGGCTACAGCTTACATCCTGGTTTGTGGGCACATAAGAGGCCCTCTGTGAGGATTCCCAAAATAGCCAATGTATACTGAGCATAAATAAAAATAAGATTCCATTTTGTGGTCATAGACCGGTGAGGTCAAACGACATCTGGTTTTGCAATGGAAAACATTACCTTACTGGAAAGAAGTTACCACACCATGCTTCCTTGTGAACATGCCAGTGGTCTGCCACTCAAATCTGGCCAATCAGAACTCACAACTCCCCCCTTAATTATGCAACGTCCCCTGTTAATGTTTGTGCTGCCTACTTCTACTTAGGCTATGGTGGTTGTTTTTGATGTAGCATTCTATAAGCAGTATAAATTTTTGAAAAAGCGAAAGAGCTTTGTGTAATGAAAAAATAAAATATGAAGGTTGTCTCTATCACAGAATGGTCTGTGAATGTGGGAAAAGGGCGGTGTGCCCAGAACAGCACCTTGAACGGCTCATTCTGCTCACATAAGACTTTCATCTTGGGCTTGGTGGGCCCCAGTTCCCCCCGGGCTCTTCATATGAATCATCTGATCATCACAACCACCTTAGCAGAGCCAAGACTTCAAGGCGGCACTCTGTGCTTAGAACTCATGTTCTTTCCACTACACTGCTCTGCCTTGTCCAGCAGCAAGCCATGCTGAGCACTCATCTCTGCAAGGAGAAATCACTCTGTTGCTTGGCAAGGCACCCTCCTGGACACACCCTCTCTGATTCCCAAGCAACTTTCCCTCTCGGTAGGCCTTCATAATCTGAGCTACCCGAATAAAGTCCTCTATTTATTCAGCTTTCATATTTTGAACACCTACTATGTCCCTTTCATTGTGTGAAGTCCAAGATGAAGTATGAGGTCCCTGCCTCAGAGTGCTTATAAGAGTTCATTCCCCTTAGACATCTCTTTTCCATCTTAGGATTGCTTTAGATATTCTGATGTGGACTGAGGAATTGCTAGATGTGGATTTAAACCTTAAACCATATATCATATAAATATATTGACTTAAAAAATATATTGAAGTTATCAGTTTATATCAATCTCTTTGAGGTTATTATTTTATAGACAGATAAAGCCCAGTAGATACATGATGGCTAGGTAGATGGTAGATTGATGATAGATATAGGCAGAAAGTAAGCCTCATGAGTACAAGTTTCTTTCTATATCTGATTCCCTTTTCAGAAAGCTAAACTCTCTGAACAGTGTCTAATGATACTTGCAAGTTATTAGTCCCTCCTTCCTCTCCATTCAAACACAAATACACACACTCACTCATACATACTCACACTCACATATGCCTAAGCCTCTGTCTCTTCACAGACAGTCCTCTTCCTAGAAGACTTAGTTCTGCCTGAGCTCTCTAGACATGGCTTTCTTTGTGGTAATTCTCCGTAGCCCACTGCTGGCACCTCTAATCATCTTATATTTCTTATTATATTTCATCTTATATTTCTTGTAGGTGGCCACATCAACCCAGCTGTGTCTTTTGCAATGTGTCTCTTTGGACGGATGAAATGGTTCAAATTTCCCTTTTATGTGGGAGCTCAGTTCTTGGGAGCCTTTGCAGGAGCTGCAACCCTCTTTGGCATTTACTACGGTGAGTAGGAGAGCTGGCCATAATTTGAAAGTCAGAATTACTTGGTAGGAAGAGATGAGATAAGGCAAGAACAGAAAGTGTTCCGCAGTTGACAGGCAGTTCTAAGAATTCTAAGTTCTAAATAATGGGGCCAATGTTATCATTAGGACAAATCCATGAAGCCTGTTTAAGAAAATGGTCACATGCTTAAACAGAGGGCAGAACTTGAAGTCTGTTTTTAGGTCCAATCAGTACTACAATGTGAATATGCACAAAATAAGCAATAGGCCAGTGGCTTCTCCACAAGCTTTCTCTGAGTTGGCTGGGAGAGGAGGTGTTGACTGGTAGCAAAGGATACGATGAGTAAGTATTTAGAGAAGGAATCTGGAACAAAGTCTTTGAAGGAAGGGGCACAGTTGAGAATAGGCTAGGTGGGGACCTCTTTCCTACTCTGTCCAACAACCAGGACTTCTGTTCTGCAACAGTCCTGGGGGAAAAACACAGCCTTGGCAATTGAAGACCCAGACTTTAACTCTGTGCGGTGTCAGTAAATAGCTGTGAGACTTAAGTAAGTCATCTGCCACTGTTGGTTCAGTTTCCTCCTTTGGAAAATGAGAGAACTGACTTCCAATATTCTTCAAACTAAAACATCTTGAGATTGTATGAAATTAACTGTTAGAGTAGTTCCTTCTGTCTAACCCAAGGTAAGTCTCCTAAATTATGACTCTCAAATTGAAGCCCTTTGGAGCTAGAATTTATGACATTCATGCCTTAGAGTAATACAGTGTGGAAGGAGGCTTCTTCCCACAGAGTGCTTTTCTGAGAAATAGTGCCTAAGAGGACTGACAGAGCATTGCAAAGTAGACCAGAAACTCGGAGAGCCAGCTGCTGTGGCAGGAGGGACTGGGGCCAGCATTGGCTGTGTCCTCTGAGACTGATGTCTCCTCTGCTCTGAGGACGTCTTCACTATACCACAACATTCCCCCTATTTCTGGACTCCTATTCAGGGCTACTGAGAAACAACCCTCTGGGAATTATGAGTTCTGCCTAGAGTACGTTGATGCTCCACTTTGGCATTTGGTTAATCTCAAAAATTCCAAGAATTTCTCCCAGAGAATATTAGTTCCCTGGACCCACTGGCTAAGGCTTTGGCTCAAGTTTGGAGTGAACCATAGAGCGCAGCCAGGGCTTTCTGTCTTTGATCTGGCATCCTGGAATTTCTCTGGACATGTCTAAAACTACCATGCTAGGGGGACTCCTGGGTGGCTCAGTCGATTAAGCACCTGACTCTTGATTTTGGCTCAGATCATGATCTCACAGTTTGTGGGTTCAGGCCCCACGTTGGGTTCTGCACTGATGGTGCAGAACCTGCTTGGGATTCTCTCTGTCTCTCTCCCTATGCCCCTCCTCCCCTCAAAATAAATAAACTTAAAAAAAGAGTAAAACATAAAACTGTCATGCTATAAAGTGAGAAGTGGTAAGCAGTGTGGACCTGCCAAGCTGAACCTGAGTGTTTGATTGTAGCTATTTAGTGCAAATTGGACATAGGACTCATTCAGCTTTGCGGGGAGGACACTAATGTGCCAGAACTCTATCTTCCATAGACGGACTTATGTCCTTTGCTGGTGGAAAATTGCTCATCGTGGGAGAAAATGCAACAGCACACATTTTTGCGACCTACCCAGCTCCATATCTGTCCTTGACGAATGCATTTGCAGACCAAGTAAGTGTTCATTTAACAAAGATCTAACTTTGGTGAAAAAATATGATCTAATAAGGAGAAAGCATAGATGTGTTATAGGCTAGTAGAAAGGAAAGGCTGTTTCCAAAGTCAGAGGTCATTAGGCATAACCCAAGCTTTTTTTTAACAAGTTTTTTCCTTTACCAAAGTTGATACCACTAAAAAAGTTTTCTGCTTCCTCTTTAATATATATACTTGTTTCACTTTGCTTGAGGTCCAGAAAAGAGCAGATGACTAGCCATTTCAACCCCTGAAGGGGCAAATAGAGTTTGCTTCATGATTACAGTCTCTTTTGTGATATGAATGTGGAGGCCACGAGAGAAGACATTTCTATCTCAATTCAAGGACTGTAAAGTGTGGTAGTTGAGCCTAGAACGTCACTGATCCTCTGTGTCTTCTCATATGCATAGGTTTATCTAAACTCTCATTGTAGCCAGAAGTGTCTCTGCCTTATTGACATTTAAACAAACTGCACCCAAGCATCTATGACGTAGCCAATAGCAAAGTTATTCTGGTCAGTTTGTTGGAGGACCACCATTGTCAACCTGAGAGCCTCTTCCTCCCTTACTGTATCCCAGGAAGGTTGCTGGTCAACCTGGAAGGAAGGGAGGGAGGGAGGGAGGGAGAGAGGGAGGGAGAGAGGAGAACGGGAAGGAGGAGAATGGGAAGGAGGCAAAAACGGAGGGACCACATCTCCAGCAGCTCTAAGCTGTTCTCTTGTGATCAGGATTTACACGATGGGGCAAGGTAGAATGAGCATGCACATAAAAAGGATCTCCTCCATTTAAGATAGATGAAAGAAACTATGCCCTCATGTTCTCGGCCTTTTTCCTTTCCACTTGGATCAATGAACCCAATAGGCAACAAGTCTTTCTTGAGCACCTCTACATGCTCAGCCTTGTGTCTGGAGCTGGAGGAGCTGACAAGCCAACAGGAGTTGTAAAGATCCAAGATTGGGAGTCTGAGTGCCTGACTTAAAACAACAGTTCTGCCCCAACTCCCTGAGTAACCTTAGCTAAATTACTGAACTTTCAGGGGTCCCAGATTCTCATCTGGAAAGTGGGGATAGTAGTAGCACTTATCAGATGACTTGTAAGGATAAAGTGAATAATATGAGGAAAATGTATTGTAAACAAACTCTGCCCAGGAACTTAGAATCTAGTGAAGAGCAAAACGATCACCTAAGAACAAGAGGAACAATGCAAAACTGAAGAGAATTAGATGGGAAACTGGACTATAGGTGTCACATCAGTAGTCTGGAACAGTCTAAGTGAGCTGGGACGATAAGAAAAGTTGAGGTGTAAAAGATACAGAGAGATGTAGCTGCCATAAAAAGGTATGTTATCATAAGCTGAGAAAACAGAAGGACTGTATTCATATGAAGGAGTTTAGGGTCTTACTCTGTTTCCATATTGAGAGCATCAGACTCATCCAAATGTCACACTTCAAGAAGGCATACTACTGAGAGGACCCAAAAAGATCACACGGCAATGAGTGGAGAGGAGAGATGTTTGCTGTAGAGAAGGTGTGTGTGCAGGAGCTGGGGGGATGTATGTGATCATCATGTATCAGGAGCTTTCAAACATGTGAAGGAGTGTCCAGTACAAAAAAAGTTAGAATTGGTGTGTATACCCTCCGTGGAGATTTGGTGGAAGTTAGTACATAGCAGGTACTCAATAAATATTTATTACTATAGTTATATATTAAGTATATCATATTTGTACACTAATATTTACATATTAATTAATAAATATTTAATCTGCACATGAATGAAGTTATGGTGATATAACGTTATATTCAATAAAAGGATGACTTTTCTAGCAATTGGTGCTGGGCTAAATATAGACCCTTTTGTCACACGACAAGCCATTAGGCCCATCTAGTGGTAGGCCTGTCTGGGTAACTTCCAGGGCTGGAAAGCTTGAATCCAGAAGATTCAAACACCAGAAGATGGACATTGTGGGATGTGTCCCCGTTAGGGTCCTTTCCAGCTTGGAGACTAAATTAGCCAGTTGGAAACCAGGAAAAACTGGTGTCATCTGAAGGGAAGGAGCAGGGGGTAGCTGTTTCACCAACTTGGGACAGCAACACAGAAAAAGATGGGAGAGGAGAGGATGGCGGTGGGGGAGCAGACTGCTGGAAGCAACTGGTAGGGGTCCTTTACCCCTCTGGGCATCAGTCTCTAATAAGTGAGAGAGATTGGCCAGGTGATAAGAGCTTCAAAGTGCCAGGGGAACAGGGAGGGTGGGAACTGTTCACGTTGACTGGAGCAGTCAGTTTCTGAGTCAGTAAGGGGCACAAGGGGCTGCCTCAGAATGGACTCTGGGATGGAGAACAGTTGGGTTTCTCAGGAATCCTGCTTGCCATTAAATTCAGGCGCAGTTTATCTTATATTAAAGAAGAGGGAATCCGAGTCAAGAGCTGCGGAGGGACCTTTAGAGATTTCTCCTGTGAATTCAGGTCCTTTCCATTAGCGGTAAGAGAGAAAGAATGCTGACTTTCTCTCGCAAACCCTGGCTTGCATCGAAAAGGGCAGTGTCTTCATTCCACACTTCGTTCAGTGTGGTTTGGACTCACAGCCACCTCCCTGTGCTCTCGGGCTGTTCTGAGAATGTGAGGAGCGAAGTGAAGCCTCCAGCCCTACGTATTTACCTGAGTCCTAGAGCAGAGCTGTCCTCTTTGCTTCTCCTGAGAGGTAGCTGGGGCCAAGCCATCCCTGATACACAGCCGCTCCAGGGGCGGGAGACTGGCACAAGTCTCCCTCAGAATTCTGCAGTGTGCTGGGAGACGGGCCGGCCCTGCCTCTTCCCGGGCATCGGCCCCAGAGCAAGTCACTCAGAACCTTCTGAAGCCTCAGGTTAGTCTTCTGATAAATGGCATTGGTGATACCTGCATACTACATGGTAGGTAGCAGTAAAATCTCTCAACAAACAGTTATTTTTCTACCTTTAGCCAGCCCTCTCTCCCTCCTAATCTTGTTCTTGTAAAGCCATCTTAGAGCATGTTACATGTTCTTCTGATTCCTGTCTGCAAGACATGCCCCCAAGTATCCTGGTGACAAGAAAATGCTTGGTCTTCTGGTCATTGGAGGTCCAGCCTCGCTGAGGGCTGCCATCTCTTACCCGATGCTCAGCCCCATATCATCTCCTAACCCTCAGTCACTATGTTCACTTCGTTCGCCTTTTCTCAAAGTGAGTCGCCAGTTTCTCTAAGGGCCGTGGGTTTAAGCCAGTTATTTTGTATAGCTAAGTAGAGAAAACGAATATTAGCAAACACTGGTGCTCCAACCTTGAGTGACTCCTGAAGGCTCTGTATTCCTTAAACTTTGCAGGGAGTTTCAGAGAGTACCAACTGTTAGTCGGTGGACACACAACAGAACTCTGGCCACCAGGGCTATATTTCTGGGTCAACTGATCTCAAGCTTACTAAATTGTTTAGCTCTAAATAGTGTTCAAGGATATTCCGCAATTTAATTAATAAACAACCATTCATTCAGCCGGTATTTGTTGGTATCTACCGAGCCAGATAGAGCTCTATGCTGTTCCTTCTTTAAGAAGTTCAGGGTCTGGGGGCGCCTGGGTGGCTTGGTCGGTTAAGCGTCCGACTTTCGCTTAGGTCATGATCTCGCGGTTCGTGGGTTCGAGCCCCGTGTCGGGCTCTGTGCTGACTGCCAGCTCAGAGCCTGGAGCCTATTTCAGAGTCTGTATCTCCCTCTCTCTCTGACCCTCCCCTGCTCACGCTGTCTCTCTCTCTCTCGCCTAGAAATAAATAAAAAAAAAAAAGTTCAGGGTCTGGTGCCCAATCTGACAAGTAAGCAGATCCCTCTGTAGTTTGGGTGATCAGGGCTGCGATAGGAGTAAAGTCAGAATGAAATGGAAGCCCAGAGGCAGAAACTTCTATCCCGCCTGGGAGAGTGGGGAAAGACTCCAAGGAAGAGCGCTCTTTGGAGAACATGATTCTTTGAATACAAATACAAAATCTTCTTGTTTGGAAAAACAGATGAAATGATGAGGAGATACAACTCTAAAGAATTTGTTGCTAGATTCTTCTGCTCATGAGCTGTGTGCCCTTGGGCAAGTTTCTTAGCCTGTTTCTCCCCAAGGTTCCTCATCTGTAAACTGAGAGTAATGGGCAATTGCCTGGCTCAGTCAGTGGAGCATGCAACTCTTGATCTTGGAGTTGTGAATTCGAGCCCCAGGTTGGGTATAGAGATTACTTAAAATAGTAATAATAACAATAGATTTATCTGATGGGTTATTATGAAATGCTAATGAGATAAACATATGAAACACCTGGCAAATAACAGGTATTCAGTGAATAGTATTCATCAGTTAGGTGTTAAGTATGAAAAACAAGTTTGGAAAATAGAAAATAGTGGGGAAAATACAAACTAGAATGCACCATTTCAGAATACTTATTATTGTATTTCTTATAATATTTTCTTACAATAGTTCTCTTATGTATGTTTTTTTAAATGTAAAATACAATGTGCATATATTTTTTACTTAATATCATAAGCACTTTTAAATATTATCACATGGCTTTTGTATTTATTGTTTTTAATGGCTGTTGAGTAGACCATAAATAGACACTCCTTCATTATTTTTAGCTCCTTCCCTGTTTGACGTGTTTCTAGATGTCTTCCAGTTTTTTAGTACTATAAATAATGCCGAAGTGAACTTGTTTGTTTTATGACTTTTTTTCATAATTTAAATTATTTCCATGGTATGGTTTTCAGATACCTAGCTGGGTCAAACTGAATAGATAATTTTATGGATTTTTTTTTAATGCATATTACTAAATTACTGCTGAATTTCCTTTTGAGAGTGGTACGTTTAGTTCTATCACTTCCCTAACGTTTAGTACTGTTTGCATTTTTCCATTACGAATCAGATTTTCCCACCTATTTGTTTCTTAATTCTATTTTTCTCTTAAGAATTTTCTGTCCATTTCCTTTGCCCATTTATCCATTAGCATCTTACCAGTTGCCTGAGGGCCTAAGTAGTAGCTTAGCTGGATGGTGTAGTGAAGGTAGCAGTCTCCGGAGCAGAACTCTCTGGGTCCACACCTGACTGCTGCTGACCGAGTGTGACTTTGGCACATAGCTAATGTGTAAATGAGGATGATACTCACACCCACATCTAGGATTGCTGTGATGAGAAGAGAACCTGGCACAGTGTGCTCACTAAAGTGTGTTAGTCATTACTAGGTTTGTTTTTGAATAAGAGGGGGTAAAATTTGAGGTGAGCAAATGAACAGAATACAAGTTCACTCCCTTGTGAATTTTCTCCCTCTGCAGGTAGTGGCCACCATGTTCCTCCTCATGATTGTCTTTGCCATTTTCGACTCCAGAAATTTGGGAGTCCCCAAAGGCCTAGAGCCCATTGTCATTGGCCTCCTGATTATTGCCATTTCTTCCTCCTTGGGACTGAACAGTGGCTGTGCCATGAATCCAGCTCGAGACCTGAGTCCCAGGCTTTTCACTGCTTTGGCAGGATGGGGGTTTGAGGTCTTCACGTAAGTAACAGCGGTGTCTGGGGAGAAAGATTCATGTTGCACCTCACTGGGAAGGCTGTGGTTGGACTACAGAAGTCCAGGAGAGTTCAGATGGGAGTGCGGAGGGTAAGAGCACACTCTGGTCATCAGTGTGGGACATTTCACTAGTGATGATATGGGGTGTGGTGGGGGAGGGATGAGGCAGACAAACATGGGCACAGATAGACAGGGAGGGAGAGAGAGAGAGAGAGAGGCTCCAGGTAAATTCCAAAGAGATAGGCTTGCCCTATATAATAATAATCGGTATATGGTTTTATGGGAATATTTTGGTTGTATAACTTGTCTTCAGATTCACTTTGATACAAAGTTGGGGCAAGAATTTATATCTTCCAATACTACTACAGGGCTCCTTCTAGAGAATTGTGCTATGTATGCTTCACTCATTTAGCATATCTCTACTGAACACTGTCTGTGCTGTGGTCACTGTGCTAGATAAGGAAATTTCAAAATCACCTAAGACACTAGCCTTGAGCAATATAATAAGTGCTCTGGCAACTTCTAAAACCAAGTGCTGAGGGAATGTAGATAAGTGGGTGACCAGGAGAGCCTGGGTAGCTCAGTCGGTTGGGCATCTGACTTCGGCTCAGGTCACTATCTAATGGCTTGTGAGTTCGAGCCCCATGTCGGGCTCTGTGCTGACAGCTGGGAGCCTGGAGCCTGCTTCAGATTCTGTGTCCCTCTTTCGCTCTACTCCTCCCCTGCTTGTGCTCTGTCTCTCTCACTCTCAAGAATAAATAAAACATTAAAAAAAATTTTTTTTAAAGAGAGTGACTAGATAGCTATGCCTGGGGAAATTGGAAAAGGCATCAGTGAAGAAATGAGAGCTGACTTGGGTCTTGAGGTATGAATAGGAAGTCCCTGGTAGAACAGATATAAAAGAAAGCCTGTGTACAAGAAATGGCATGACGCCATGCTTTCTACCTCAGAATGTGTGAGGAAATACGCCAATTGTTGGGACCAGTCTTCTAGGACACACTGTACCCATTTCTTCCTTCCCATTTTTGCCCCATAAAATCACAGTGGTCAGTCCCCATCTATTATCACATCTCTCTCTGAGAAAGGAACTCACTTTGGTTCATCAAGAAACAGGGCTCCAACACAGAGAAAGAGAGGCCAGAGAGACGCATGTGAGGAAATGTTAGTTTAATACTTGGTGAGAAGTATTCTCTCTTGGTGAGAAAAGACTTGAGCGTTTCTAAATGCTGACATATAGTCACGCACATGTGATGACTTATTTAAGTGTAGGTTTGGGTTGTCTTCACCAGTGTGAAAAACTAGCTATTAAAATAACTGATACCAGTCATATCACCACCATAGACAGGGCTGAGAGCTGCTAGAATATAAGCATCCTAAGGACAGGGACCTGGCAGCTTCCTCATTGGTGCACCCACAGTAACAAAACTAGAGCCTGGCATATAAAGAGTTTCATAGAAGTTAATAAAAGTATGAATGAAATAATGGGTAAACACTATATGCCAGACATGTCCTAAGAGATGAAGGATACAAAGAAAATCGAGCCACATCCCCTCTCTTTAAGAAACTAGTAATGCAGTGAATTGTCTAGAGCAGTGGCTCTCAACCAGAGGTGATTTTTTCCACCCAGAGATATTTGGCAATACCTAGAGACATTTCTGGTTATCACAACTGGGGAGGGTGGAGATGAAAGTCATTACTGGCATCTAGTGAGTAGAGGCCAGAGATACTGCCAAGCATCCCACGGTACCCACGACAGGTCCCCACAACAAAGAATTATTCAGACAAATTGTTAACAGTACCACAGGTGAGAAGCTCTTGTTCCAGAATGATAACCACTAGAACGTCCCCAACTAGGAAGGATCTTTTGCATTCTTCCAACAGAGAATGAAAAACATATGTCAGAAAGATTCCCAGAGCCCAGAATTAACCGATGAGTTTTGTTATTTCCACCTTCCTGAGCTTCATTCTAGGAGACCACTGCCCCCATGACCAGGTCACCTCAGTTAGCTCCACACAGACCCTGGAACAAAGATGCCTCAAAGGCCTGCCTTTGAGCTCTGCTTGGTGATTCATCCAAAGCTCTAAGAGTGATGGTGGCTCTAAGATAGGCAGAGACCTTGCCTGTTCTCTCTCAGTTTTATTAAGTGTAGGCAGGAGATCATGTCCATGGCAAAGTCCTACAATCATTTAGTGCTGAACTAAGCTCCATGTCCCTCTGTGTCAGGGTCCCTTCCCTTCATGCACTCATTTATTCATCCATGCAGCTACCTGAGCTCTTATTCAAGGAGCTGTGCTAGAGATGACAAAACCCAATTGCTGTCCTTCACCTTTATTTACGTTTTGTTTCAGAGGGGTTAGCATAGGCTCTTAACCCAAGGTGAAGTTGTCAAATGCCATTAAGGAGAATTGACTCATTAACACCAAGATTTGAGAGGTTTTCAACTCTAAGCTTAGGAATTACAGGGGTGGAAGTAGGGGCATTTTATAGTATTTGGACATTCTTAAACAGGGGACAGAGAGGCTATTTCAGGCAGAGAGGCTGCTATATACAAAGACAGAATGTTAGAATAACACGTGATCTAGTCTAGCTGAAAGGATGCATGAAGAAGCCTGAAAAGAACAACTCTTGTTAGATCACAGAGGATCTAGGCTCCCAGAATGAAAAAGTCAGGTTTGGGCTACTCCCTATTCTGTAGATTATGGGAAGTAGCAAAAGATTTAGAGCAGAAGTTTGACGTGTTTGGAGCACCAATTTACCAAAATTAGTCTGACATCACTACATGGATAAAGAAGAGACTAGAGGATCAGAAACCAGTTAGGAAAGAGCTGACTGGCTGGTAATCTTCGAAAATTCCCAAGAAAACCTTTGAAGGATAACAGGTCTCCAAAGTGTTCCTAGACTCTTTCATCCTTCCAGGGCTCCCTACCCCTGATAAGCATCTCAGAAGATGTCTCAGCTGGGATCTACCCCCATGGTCTCAGAGAAAACCAAGACTGCCTTATTCTCATGGCCTCACTTGCCCCTGTAGGACAGTCAGTGGGGATGATGGCAGAGTGGGGCACCAGAGGGTCCAACAAGGGCAAGTCAACAGACCTTAGCTGACTACTGCTATCCTCTTAAATATTAAGATGTTTTCCACCTAAGCTCTCTCCACTAATTCACATTAAGGAATTAATGACTTCATGGATGAAGGATCTCAGGAGTATTGTTAATATTTTAAAGAGTTTACCCAAAGGAAGGAATTCCTGCTGGTGGTATGTACTTCAAGCAAATTAACACAGATGTTTCCCAATCACAACATGCAAATGATACTGTGGACTTGTAAGACCGGCCAGGCGGGATACTACATGTGAGGACCTTCATTTATGACTTGGGACCCCGGCACAACACATTCAGCACTGACAGAAGGAAGAGCCCAGCCAGTGAAAAGAGGACATGTGTTCTGGCAGATAACTGGGACCCCAATCTGTTAAATGACAGTGAGATTCGCTATTAAATCATGATGAACGAGAGGAAATGGTAGACAAATTAGATGGCTTATACTTGCTTCCTGTGTGTACCAAAGAGAAGGCTCCTAGCTCTTTAAAGCCCATGTGCCTCTCCTAGGAAAGTCCTCCTGGATTTGGGGGCTTGTGAAGGTGCACTGAGAGCAGCGAAAAGTGCAGCATCCTCTCTCCCATGCAGTAAGAGTGACATCTGGTGGCTGCTGTGCTCACCCTCGGTGCTCTTCCCTCCATGATCTAATTTCAGAGTACTTGGATGGTCTGGGTGGAAGAGACCACCATGCAGATGGAAGAATGAAGCTCAAGGGCAGGGCTCATTTTCTTTATTATCCTTTCTAATCCAACTGTGATAGAAACAAACGCCACATGGAACATATATGTAGTTATTAAACAGAATGGTAAAAAGGACAGCCATGAACCTTTCCCAGCTAGGACACTGTGAAGTCCTCAAGTATATGTGTGGGCTCTTGCTATTTCCCCTGTGTCCTCCACATTATCCTGAATATTAGTGCTTCTCACTCCTGTGTTTTAAAAAAGTTTTATCTGAAATGTATATATCCTTAAACAATACATCGCATACTTCTGCTTGCTTCTGAGGATCATGTTCCTTTCTGTGGAGCTATTTAAATCGATTTCCTGTCTTCGAGAAAGATGGTAACAATTTACAAAGGCACCTGCTTTCTCCCAGAGCTATACTTTTAGTATAAGGTACTGTCATTGAAGACTTCTGTAGAAGACAGAATCATGGCACAAAAGCCTTATCAGAGAGTAGCTTTAAGCTATGACCTCAAAAAATAAGCATGCAATTAAATTATATTTAGTAGGTAATTCATTTAACCACATTTCATTTTCTTAATTTATTCATTCATTGACAAATGTTTTCTGATTGTTTATGTCATGGTTGCCCTCGTAGATGATTCTCAGGAACCCCTCCACACCTTTCCGTTCATTATCCCCAGGACTCATCATTTCAGGATTCAAGAAAGGAAGTTCCTGAGTAATCAACCTGAACTATCCCTAGATGCCTTCAGTTTTGACAGTAGGTTCAGGGATTATATTACCTGAAAGGAAAAGAAATGTGGCATATTCTCTCAAGAGTACTAATAGGAAAACAGAATAGATCACCTGAAATCAGGTATATGGAAAATCTAGGATGATGGTTGCCAAGCTACAGTGAGTGTCATGCCTAGTTCTTGCTGAGCTAAAAGGGAACCATGAGCATGAGAAAGACTGGCTTGTTTAGTGGATACCTAGACAATAATTCCAGGAGAAAGTGCAATATCACTAATTTCTCGTTTGATTTCAGAGCTGGAAATAACTTCTGGTGGATTCCTGTAGTGGGCCCTTTGGTTGGCGCTGCCATTGGAGGCCTCATCTATGTTCTTGTCATTGAAATTCACCACCCAGACCCTGACCCAGACTTCGAGACAGAACAATCAGAAGACAAAACAGAAAAATATGAACTTAGTGTGATAATGTAGTAGTGTGCTCAGTCTTAAATTTGCAATTGGCTGAACTCGTATTCTCTTCAGAAAAGATGGCATCCAGGCATCTGCGTTTTCGTAAGACTAGGATGGAATCCAGTCATTTTTTTTCTGCTAGCTGTGTGTGAGGCACCTAACTGTAAAAGCATTCAAGTGAAAGTTTACAAATGCTGACCTCTTCTCCACCAGTTTCCCCCAGAATAGCACTGATTGTCCCCTGCTCTGTTTATTTCATCCTTTGATGGGAATCCTTATTACTAGGTGAGTTCCAATCACTTCAAACCTTGACCACGGACTTATTTGAATGACCTTAGCTGCATTACTTGTATGAAATAGCATTACAAAAGCCTTGTTTTCAAATTCCACAAAGATTACATTTTGAATATCAACCAAAACTTGATTGAAAGACAAAATAGTGATTTCAGTTAATATGTTCATGAATTAGAGTTAACTCTGTAGTTATGCTGTGCCACTATATTTGTATAGATACAGATACTTTTCAAGCCTAGGAATAAAGGAAACAGTAGAATACAGCTGGAAAGCACAGGGGAAGGACGCTGTGGCATTCAGAAACCTCAGGAGACAAGATAAATTTGGGAAACCAAATGGAACTTTTTAATGGAAACCATTTGTCAGATTAATCTCTTGCTCTTTGCATTTTAGAGGGCACCAATTAATTTCCTTGTCTTTAGTATAATAAAATACAACTGTAACCTCAGTCATGAAAAATACATCACTCTGTATTTTTAACTCAAATGTATTTTCCTGATTGTCCACTTGAGGACAGACATTTGACAAGTGAAGTCAATGGCTGCACTGATCCATTATTCTTCACATGTCCTAGAAGTCAAAACTGAAAGCCAATGGATCCTGGACTAGAAGAATCTTCAGGATAGAAGATCCCTGGAAAGCTAGCATTACCTTATTGGGCTTTACAATTCACAAAACACTTTCATATTTATTATCTAATTTAATCCTTATGGTGACTGTTTGAGGTATATGCCATGCTTCCCATTTTCTCAGATAAAGAAACAAAAGCTCAGGGAAGTTAAGTGAGTTGCCGAAGTTCACATGGAAAGTTGAGCCTCGTCTAATGCATCCTACACCTTTCTGAAGATCAATCAATAACTGGCCAAGAATCTTGGCCAGCCCTTCTTGGCTGGCCAGAGAACATGGATTGGCAGCTGCCAGAATGTGTACATCTTCTGTACATAATGTTCCTGGGATCCTAAAATATTAGGACCTTTATCATATAATTTTATTTCCATTGTTACTTATGCACTAACAAAGGAAAGAGGTAGCAATTTGATTGTACTTTTCATGTGCTGAAAAACATTATTAGAAGGCCTCTCTTCCTTGCTCTTGCTACATCTTGCTCCTATTGCCGCTCCTTCCTTCCATAACAATCACAAACGTTACATTTGGGTAATTTCCCCTTGGTCAGGCTCTTCCCTGTGAAGTTCTCTAATTGATGTCACTTTGGTGACAAATCTCCACAAGCTTGTAACTCACAAGCACCATACCAAGTGATGCATCCTCAGTCAAACTGTTAAAAAGCCCAGCCTTCCCAGAGGTATCCAGTTCCCCCAACTGCTTTGTGACAATCACAGAAAAGTAAATGAGAAATGTCTCCAATGGCCTATGTTCTACCATCTCCTAACATGGAATATTTTTCTTGCTCTGACTCTACCTGGATATTTCCTATTTGAAATAAAATTGGTGGGTTTTTAAAAAGTTTTTAGGAGTATTATGATGTCTAAGTACATATGCTTATCCTGTCTACAAATTGAGATCTCCTGGGGAGCTTTTAAAAATTACTAATACCCAGTTATTCTTTTGTAAATATCACAATGATTCAAATGTACAGCCAGGGTGAAGAACATTGACTTGGTTAAACTACATGTTCTAAGGTTTCTTTGAAAACCATGCTTGGTGGTGGCCAGACAATTCTTGGTAGCATTTGCAGGCTTGGGATCCTCATGGATTTGAGGGCAGTGTTTCCCAATAGGGGGCAGTTTTCCCCTTTCCCATTCCCTTCCACCACACCAGCAAGGGGATATTTGGCAATGTCTGGAGAGGTTTTGGGTTGTTACAACTGGGACAGGAGAGTTACTGGCATCTAGTAGGTAGAAGTCAGGATGCTGCTAACCATCCTACAAAGGACAAGACAGTCTCCACCCCCACTGCCACCCCCCACACACAATACAGCATTATTCAGCCCAAAATGGCAATAATGAAGAGGTTGGGAGACCCTGGATTTGGAAAAAGGTGAGGTGAGGAATAAGAGAAGACAATGAAGCCCTGTGCCCTGATTAAAGTTCTGCAAAAACAGAGACACCAAACAAGTCAGAACAGCCCCGGGGTGGATTATAATTATTACAGGAAGACACAATCTAAAATTTGAATTTTCAGTTTGGATTTGGAAGTTATGATTCATGCAGGTGTTCATTAAACACTACATGGTGATTAATGACTGGAATTATAAAGAATGTGTAGCAACATGGATGGACCTTGAGGGTGTTATGCTGAGTGAAATAAGTCAGGCAGAGAAGGACAAATATCATATGTTTGCACGTATAGGAGGATTAGGAGGAACTTGATGGAGGAACAAGGGGGAGAAGAAGGGCGGAAATGGTGGGGGAAAAGGAGAGAGGCAAGCCATGAGAGACTCTTGAATGCTGACAAAAACTGAGGACTGATGGATGTGGGGGGGGGGGGGGGGAATGGGCACAGAGGGGGGCACTTGTGGGGATGAGCACTGGGTGTTATATGGAAACCAACTTGACAATAAACTATTTGTAAAATAATAATAATAATAAATAAATAAATAAATAATAAATAAATAAAAATAAAAAATAAAAAAATAAAAAAGGGACTGAAATCATAAAATATATGTTCTCTGACCACATGAGATGAAAAATCAATAGCTTGAAATTTGGGAAATTCACTAATATGTGTAAATTAAACAACCACTATTAAATAATCAATGGGTCAAGGAATAAATCTCAAAGAAAATTAGAAAATACTTTGACATGAATGAAAATCAAACACAACATATGGAAATTTATGGGATGCAGTGAAAGCAATGCTCAAAGGAAGATTTATAGCTAAAAGAAAAAAGATCTCCAATCAACCTAATATTCTACCATAAGACACTGAAAAAGATCAAACTAAACTCAGGACAATTTTAACAAAACTGGAATTTAAAAAAACCTTAAGAGCAAGCAAAAGGAATGAAATAATAAAGATTAGAGTAAAAATGAATGAAATAGGAAATAGAAAAACGGGTGCCTGTCTGGCTCAGTCAGAAAAGCATGTGACTCTTGATCTCAGGGTCATGAGTTCAAGCCCCACATTGGATACAGAGATTACTTAAATAAATAAAAACTTTCAAAAAAAATAAAAGGAAGTGGAGAAAATTAACAAAATGAAAAATGGGCTCTTTGAAAAATCAACAAAATGGACAGATAAGACTTCAGCTAGACTAACCAAGAAAAAAGGAGTAAGATTCAAATTACTAAAGTCGGATATGAGAGAGGGAACATAATTACTGAACACACAGAAATAAAAGATTTATAAAGGAATACTATTAACTTCTATATACCGATAAATTATATAACTTTGAAAAAACAATTTCCTGAGAAGGACACAAACTATTGAAACTGACTCAAGAAGAAACAGAAAATCTGAACAGACCTGTAATGAAAAGATTAAATTGATAACCAAAAGACCTCCCACAAAGAAAAACCCATAACTAGATGGCTTGTCAGGTGAATTCTACTTCACATTTAAAGAAGAATTAATAGAAATTCTTCACAAACTCTTCCAAAAAATGGAGGAGGAGAAAATACTGTTCAACTCATTCTAAGAAACCAGGATTATACCAATACCAAAATTACACAAAGATATTTCAATAAAACTACAGACTAAAATCTTTTATAAATATTGATGCAAAAATACTCAAGAAAATACTAGCAAACTGAATCTAGCAACATATTAAAAAAAATCATATTCCATGACCACAGTGATTTATCCTAAGGATGTAAGATTGGTTCAGTGTGTGAAAAGCAGTCAGTGTAATAAGCCATATTAGAATAAAAGGCAAAAATCACATGATCATTTTAGCAGAAGTAGAAAAATCACTTGACAAAAATCTAAAGCATTTTTATAATTAGAACACTCAATAAATGAGTAATATAAGGGAATTTCTTTAACCTGATAAAGGGCATCTACAACAAACACACACCAACACTATATTTAATGGTGGAAAAGTGGAATCCTTCCCCCTAAGGTCAGGAACAAGATACGCTGTATCTACTCAGATACTTCAACATTTTACTTGAGGTCCTAGCCAGTACATTTAGGCAAGAAAAAGAAATAAAAGACATTCAGATTGTAAAAGAAGAGGTAAAACTGTGTTTATTTCCAGATGACAGAATCACGTATATAGAAAATCCTAAGGATCACACACACACACGCACGCACACACACACACACACACACGCATGCACACACGCACACACACAAATACTGGTGGGTACTGGGTGCTTGGGTGGCTCAGTCAGTTAAACCTCCAACTTCAGCTCAGGTCACAATCTCACAGTTCATGAGTTCAAGCTCCACGTCAGGCTCTATGCTGACAGCTCAGAGCCTGGAGCCTGCTTCAGATTCTGTGTCTCCCTCTCTATCTGCCCCTCACCCTACTCGCACTTTGTCTCTCTCTCTCTCTCAAAACTAAATAAACAGTAAAAAATTTTAATTTAAAAACACTATTGGATATAGTGTATAAGTTCACCAAAGCTGTAGGATAAAAGATTAAGAACCCCAAATCAGCTTTATGTCTATACACTAGCCACAGATCATCTGAAAATGAAATTATGAAACAATTCCACTTATAATAGTATCAAGAAGGATAACATTTACAAATAAATTTAACAAAAAGCTTTCAAGCCTTGTATACTGAAAACTATAAAACATTGTGAGAAGGATATGTGACTACAGAAGAGAGAGGAGGTGAGAGAATATCATGAGACGGACTTGGCCTACCATTGTTGACTTTGAAGATGGAGAAGCATGTGATGAGCCAAGGATGAGGGTGGCCTCTGGTAGGTGAAAAGAAAATAGATTCCTCCCTGGAGCATCCAGGAGGGAATGCAATCCTGATTTGATTTTGGTGAATCCATGTGGGATTTCTGGCCTATGGACCTGTAAAATAACAAAATTGTGTTGTTTGAAGCCACTATGCACCAGTTTGCTACATATGCCATAGAAACCTAATACTAATAGTAACTCTCTCAAACACTCCCAAAACAATCTTTAAAAAAACAAAGTTGAAGGACTTATACCGCATGATTTTACAGCTTAATACAAAGCTCAGGGAATCAGGACACTATGGATAAGGATATACCTAGAACAATGAAATAGAATTGAAAATCCAGGAATAAACCTCCACATTTACAGTCCATTGATTTTCAACAAGGTGTCAAGACAATTCAGTGGAGAAACAAGTTTTCTTTAACAAATGATAGCGGAACAACATGTAAAAAAAAAAAAGAATTTATATCCATATCTTACAACATATACAAAAATTAAACCATTATGAATCAAAGACTCTAAATGTAAAAGCTAAAAACTATTGAACTCCCAAAGAAAAACACAGGCATATATCTTTATGACTTTGGAGTAGACAATGGCTTACACCAAAAGCATAAACAACAAAAGAAAAAAAAACTGGACTTCATCAAAATTAA